AGTCGTGATAGACAGTTCATCATCGATGGCCCGCCTAGACAAGCAGGGCCTCTCTGGCGACATTCAACCCACTACTATCGTCTCCGGGCAGCTGACGTGATACAGGATTATTTTACTGCAGCGGAAAAGGCCACTCAGGACGATATGGTAGGAGTATCAATGCACCGGTAGGGCGGCATTTGGTGGATCTCAGGCGGCCATGGGATCGTGTCTAGCGGCACTCGGCGATATCGAAATTGCTGATATTGGCCGTAGTGTTTTCGTTGCGTCCTCCTCCTCAGCAGCTGAGCAGGCTGAATCATCTAACGCTACCTCACCTCTTGGACGGAGACTCAGTGATCATTCGGCAACGCTTTCTTGATGTTAGCGACGGCGTCTTCACTCAGATGGATTCATGAAGACAGCATCGAGACGATCACCATTAGCCCAGCTAGCAGTAGCAAAGGGGCCAGCAGGAAGCGCTACACTACCTGCATTGAGACGATTGCTGGGGTCAGTGAGAGGACTACCATCTGGCGTCTTTGGAGGGAAGTAGATGATGCATAAAGAGGAGGAGGAAGAGGGTTGTGTTTGCAATGGGACAGTATAGGTACATGTTGGCGACTAGCTGGAAGAAGTTTATGAACAGGCTTGTAAAGAGTGGCAATATTAAGCCCATGGAGATCTTTGATACCCTCATAGAGGCTTTGGATACGAACCCGGTACTCACTTCTCAGTGGTCATGTATGATGATAATGATGACAGTGATGACGATCAGGTGAATGCTCTCTTGGGTTTATCAGCGTTGGGTAGATGTCGAGCTATGCAGTTCTCTATGAAGGCCAAGGATGCTATAGAGGGAGTGTAGTAACGACCGCCCCGACCACGACTATGTTGATAAGTCATCTATTCAGCCTCCACACCGCGGACGAGTCGGATATCCTCGAATCTGTCCGCTCGACTGCTGTTATAGCATTGGCCTTGTTACTTGGTTCGCTACCCTATAATCAAGCTATCACTGCTGCCGAGGTAGGGTAGTCCAAAAGGAATTATGAATGGAAGCCATTTCCCTTTCAGAGTCTATTCGCTCCTTTGGAGCATTCAAGCTCGGCCATTGATACTACCCTAACCACAAGGCTGTGGATGATGCCTTACTTGTGTTTACTCCATCCTGCTAAGGTTGATCACGTCATTGAGTGAGTGAACTACCTTTGCTCTTTGTGAACTCATATGCTCGCTCAGTTGTTTGCTTATGGGCTGCAAGGATCCTGCTACTGCTACTGCATGTGGATATGGTCTAGCCTTGCTTGTTATACTCCATTTTGGCCGTCCGGAGGTTGTACAAAGCCTCATCAGTCGTCTGAAGGATACTCAACCATCTCCAGTTGATACCTGTGCACGCGTGCTATGTGGACTAGATGTCAGCGACAATTGGCATTTCATTGGTGAATTGGGGATGATTGCTGCCGGTCTTGCTGGACTGCCCCCAGACCGAATCACGGGTAAGATAGCTGCTCATCTGTCGTCTCGATGCACTTCACGAGGCTTTCAGGATATGATAGGGCCGACCCAGAGCTGAGGGTCCTGTATGTTGGTGCACTCTTTGGATGCCCGGGGACTCTGCCTATCATACCACCAGAAAGCTTCACTGCGCCACGAAATTGCTTCAGTGATAATGCTCTTACTGTGGTCGACAAGTTGGAGAAGTATGACAACGAATGCACCATCGGAGTGGCAGTTCAACTAATGCAATCAGCCGAATCGATTGCCTTTCTCCCGAGTGCAAAGCATAAGCAACGAGAGATCAATGCCTTGTCCTACATCAAGGAGGGGAGTGCTCTTCAGTACATCCTGCAGAGTTCACAAGCAGACAAATCGTCACCGCGCCACGAAATTAGCTTAATGGCGGCGACTAGACTAACTAAGGCCCTTCCGCGCAAGTGTATGCGTATCCTCCTAGGAGGTTCTCAAGGATTGGATGCCACTTCTGATTTGAAGATACGTCTGTTGTCGTACTGTGGTGAAGTCGGCTTATCGGAAATGTTTGACCTCTATACTCGATCGGCCTCAGTGCCAGAGGATACTCTAGTGTCTCTGATTCGAACAGTTGGTAGTTTATCCATGGAGTCCATGGATGCACCAATGATATCTGCACTAGTAGCCTTGGCTCAGACTGCATCCAAGAACGAGAACACTGCCGCACAGTTCCTCGCCAGTTTGATGACTATGTTGTCCGCTTGGAGGGGATCTTCTGATGACTCCAAGGATGTCGACACATGCTGTCGGGAAGTAGTGGAACCTTTGATAACCGGAGCCCCGCAACTTTTCGCTCGCCC